CCGCCTTTGTCCTCGTGCTGCTTCTGCTGCTGCTGCTGCTGGACGCGGGGCCCCAGAGCTGGGCGGCCGGGGCGGCGAGGCTGCGGACGCTGCTGAGCGTGTGCTCGCTCTGCCTCAGCCCGCTCTTCAGCATCGCCTGTGCCTTCTTCTTCCTCACCTGCTTCCTGACGCGGACCCAGCGGGCGCCGGGCCGCGGCGGCGGCGGCGGCGGCTCCTGGTGGCTGCTGGCCCTGCCCGCCTGCTGTTACCTGGGGGACTTCCTGGCTTGGCAGTGGGGGGCTTGGCCGTGGGGGGACGCGGCTGCAGCCCCGCACACGCCCCCGGCGGGCAGGTTGGTCCTGGTGCTGAGTTGCGTGGGTCTGCTGACGCTCGCGCACCCCGGGAGGCTCGGACACAGCATCCTGGTGCTGCTCTTCGCCTGCTGCGTCTGGTGGGTGTCGTTCGCCAGCCTCGGGGCGCTGCCTGCCGGGCTCAGGCCGCTGCTCTCCGGCCTGGTCGGGGCCATCGGCTGCCTGTTAGCTCTCGGCTTGGATCACTTCTTTCACATCAGGGAAGCCCCGCAGCATCCCCGCCTGTCTAGTGCTGCGGATGATAAAGTGCCTGTGATCAGACCCCGCCGGAGGTCCAGCTGCGTGTCCCTGGGAGAAAGCGCGGCCACTTACTATGGCAGTGGCAAAATGTTCAGGAGACCTTCTCTGCCTTGTATCTCGAGAGAACAGGTAGGTTGACCCCCTCATGTTGGGTCTGGGAGGACGTGAGTGGGGTGGGGAAGGAGGGAGAGGAGGATCTGGGTTCATTCCCCCCCCCCCGCCTCTCTCCCTCCCGCGTCCCCCAGGTGCATCAGAGCATTTGAAGGCTGCCCAACTTGCAGGGGAGGAAACCATGTTCTAGGAAGGTTTTGGGAAATACTAGAAGCTTGTGAAAAAGGCAAAATCAATTTTTTTTTTAAAAAAAAATCTAAGCTGAAATGAAATAGCCTACTGTAATCTTGCTTCACTTTGTAAAGTATTGCTTTTTGCTGTAGGTGAGTTCTCAGAAAAATGAGATGAATTACTGGCGCTTTGTTAGTTTGACTGCTTCCACTTGGGCATTGTCTGATGTGGAACTTTCTGGTGCTGTTTATCTATCTGCGGTTAAGGAGATGATGATGTCTGCCCAAAAAAGACCTCTTGCCTTTTAAACAAGAAAATATTTATGGATTTTGAGCAGGGAGGTTTCCATATTACTGATGATAATTGAGAAGATCAAGAACAGAAATGAGCTTTGGAACTGAGACTTATCTAGGGGAAAAGACAGAGGTATTGGCGAATACAATTTCTTAAATGGTCTTGTGTAGTTGTTGCATAATTAGGAGAAGGTTTTAGCAATTCAACCTTTAAACTTAGAATTGCCTGGAAAGATGCCCAAAACATTTTCAAATTTTCCTTGTAGGCTGTCATAGTTTTTTTTTTTTTTTTTACAGAGAAGTTGAAATCATCAGGTAATCAACTTACAGGAAGATAGCATTAGGAAGCCTACCTGTTTTGCATCATTGAGAGACTGTCATTACTGTTTATTGAAACATGCAAAAGACTTTACATATATTGTCTCAAGTCCTCACAAAGATTTCTGTTTGGTAGGTGACATTACCCTCAGTATAGAGTTGAGGGAATTGAGTTTTTTTTTTTTTTGAGATGATCCAACTTTGTTAGGTATAGAATGTGGTAGTGTTAGGGTTTGATTAATTTTCTTAGTTCTCAGTGCTGTGTTCTGCACTGCTTATTGGATAAGTGTAGAAGTTCTAAACAGTAGTTCATATCCTTGGTTTTTAGATTTTACAGATTCATCACATCTTTTACACCAAGACCCCAAATATTGGAAACAAAAGTTTCTTTACTACATCCAAGACCCTCATTTCTATAATTGTTTTGGCCAAATATTTGAGAAAAAAGTTACAACTTTTGTTCTTTAGGCTTACTACCAGTAATAATGGATAGGAAAATGGGTATCAAGTAAAAAGTTTTTTGAAAAGTCACTGTACAGCAAAATAGTAGCAATTATTTTCAAAGAATCAAATAATATTTGACTCAAGTATATGTGAATAGATTGCATTAACACTAAGATAGTTTTTTAGCACAGTTTAACCACATTTGTAAACAGTTTTCCTAAATGTAACCGTATTAGTTTTTAACACATTTTAGTTGTAATATATTGATATAGCTATATAGGTGTGTTCTTTTTAAATTGAAAACTTCTAGATTCCTCCCTCATTTCAACTGTGGAGTCAAGGATTCAACCAAGGGCCCCATGCTTGCTAAGCAAGGCTACCACTTGAACTTAGTTTTTCAGAGAGTCTTGAGCTAACTTTGCCAGGTCTGGCCTTGAATGGTGATCTTCCTACATCTGCCTCCCGAGTGATTAGGATCACAAGCCTAGACACTAAGACTTGTTTAAAAACTTCTTGTCTTTAACCTTTTCATTGGTTCTCTTTCCATTATAGCAACCTTTATCAACCTTTAATGAGGTGCATTCTTATTATCTATACTAATGGAAAATAAAATTTGTGCTTTTAAAGAGAGCATATTTTCTTATTGTAGAAAACCATTATTCACTTTTCTACCCCGAGGAGAAACAGCTTGGTGGTTTTAAAATATATGGAAGTATTATTGTTTGGGGGTATATGTTTGGTTATTAAATGCCTAGCACCACAAAATGCCACCATTGGGATTTTTTTTTCAAAAAGAAAATGTTAAACCAGGAGTGAAAACATTTTCTTATTACAGAAAGAAATAAAAAAGAATTGGGGTGGAATCTGTCCTAGTTGGAAATGTCCTGGATTCATGGGCAAAGAATTGTGGGACAAGTCTTATTTAACCTTAGAAATGTCAGTGAATATTCGATAGTCTCTTGTTAACTGGGGGATACCAGTAGAAGAATTCGATAGCACTTTCTAATTCTAAAATTAATTTCAGTTAGTTTATACTTTTCATAAGCTGTAAATAAAAGCCAGTGGGGTCACAAATTTAAATTTTATTTTAATATGAAAGTTGATACTCCTGACCAATATTTTTCAGGATATAATGATTAATAAAGTATTCTGTAATTTTTGCATAGTCAAATCTTTGAGAAATAGGGACTCATTTTTGTGGTAATTATTTTATTTCAACTTATTTTAGAATCTAAATGTTTTTAGTAGCATCTTTGAAAACCACTTGAAAATTCCTATCAATGACATGTTTTTAATTATGCAAGAATGGATTTAAAGTAACTTTCAACTTTTAGTATGTTATATACCGCTTTGAAAAGTAATTGGGCATATTTAAAAAACATTTGATTTAACACTTGTTTATATAATATTTGACTTAACTATTACCTATATGTCAGTTTTTAACTAAGAAGCTTTAAAAAACATTTAGAGATTTAAAGTTTAAATTTGATTACTGTAGACTGTTCTTTGGTGGGCTAATAGAAAGAAGCACTAAGTTTGAATTTGAAATCTGTCTGCTAGGGGTCAGCTGGAACTAAGAGGAAGTTAAAAACATCTGTTGTCTATATGAAAGCTTTGGTCGAAACTGAAGTAGCTACCTTTCTGTGCCATTTTAAGTGTATATTCTATAGGTAGTTTTCAACCACATCATTTTGTGTGTGATTAGGTAAATATGAGCTTTAGAAAGGTATAAGTTGGTGTATGACATATTTTTCTATACCTGAAATGCCAAGTACTTTCTAAATGGTTAGGTAAATATTTAAAAATTCTGTGGCCTTCAGGCCCATAAATATTAAAGTGTTAATTTTATTTGAAAAAAGTATACATTTGCAGTGTGATGACTTTAAAAAAGGAGATCTTAAAATGTGATGATTTATACTCCCCTCCCCCAAGCAAATTCCAAGGCAACCGCACTGAATTACTTTAATAATATTGTAGAATTTTTTTGAGTTTTATGGCTTCAGTGAGTGTGTTAGCCTAAATTGTATTTATTTATTTATTTATTTTTGTGCCAGTCCTGGGGGTTGAACTTGGCCTGGCTGCTGTCCCTCAGCTTTTTTTGCTGAAGGCATTCTCTATCACTTTTGAGGCACAGCTCCACTTTCAGCTTTTTGGTGGTTAATTGGAGAGAGGAATGTCACAGACTTTCTCAGATCTCAGCCTCCTAAGTAGCTAGGATTGCAGATGTAATGTGAACCACTGGTGCCTGGCTCATGATACTTTTTTTTTTTCCTCCGGTAATGGTAGCCTTATGTAACAATTTATACTCTTGTTTCATAACTGTTGTATGTACTCTGCTGTCAGTTACTTTTCAAAAACATAGATTTAATTGTTAACTGTCTTATTTTAAACATTTTCATAGCTTTTATTGTCCACAGGATAAAGTTCACGCCTTTGAATATTGCTTTCAAAGTGCTTTATAACCGGTTCTTAGTTTTGTTTTTGTTTTATTTTCTGCACCAATACTGAGGCTTAAACCTGGGGTACTGTTCTCCTTTAGCTTTTTCGCTTAGGGCTGGGTTCTGCCTGCACTGGCTTTAAACCACAGATCCTCAGATCTCAATGTCTTGAGTAGCTAGGATAACAGGTGTGAGCCATTGATGCCTGAATCCTTTACTTTTCTGTTTTCTTTTTTTTTTTTTTTAGAAGCATTTTAGGACTATAGATCCCTGCTCCCTGCATCTATCATTGGTTCCAGCCATTTGAGGGTTGCTTATTGTTATTGAACTTACTATTGCTTTTTTCTTTTACTTTTTCCATACCTACTGTCTGAAAATCTCCTTCAAGGAACAAATAAAGTTACAAGTCTGGACAGTTAACTAATATTCAAACTAATATATAAGTGGAAAACAAAATTCTGTAGTAACAGGGCCGCCATGTTTAAGACATGACAAATCTTGTGAAGTAAAGGCAATGTGTGGTATGAAACTTTTTTTTAATTATATCACACCAATTAGTAACCTTTATTTACCTTGCTTTCATGCTAATTGTAAGGCAGTTTTCTTTGTCTGCAGCCTCTTAGCTCTTCTGTCATTCTTTTCCCTTTTCTCTTTTAATTACCAAGTCAAACTATTTTCCTGTCTTTCTATATCCCATCCAATATTTATATGGAAACTATTGAAACTTGCTTAAAAAATTGAATCCCAGAGAAATAAGAAAATTGGCTCACGGTTATGCTATAATGTAAAAAAAAAAGTTCTAGAATCTAGGTCCTGACTTATAGTCCACTTGTATTTTCAATAAAGAGCATAGATATCTACAGTCATAGTTTTTTTGAAACTATGCTTATATTTTCCAAGAATCTCTACTTAGGTGATCAAAGGCAATGTCCTTGGATAAAGGAGGTGGGGTGGTGATTTGATAGAGAGTGGACAGAGAGTCAAGAGAGACTTCACACAGATGTGTGTGTGTGTGTGTGTGTGTGTGTGTGTGTGTGTGTGTGTGTGTGTGTGTGTGTGTGTGTGTGTGTGTGTGTGTGTGTTATGTCTGTGTGTGTATGTTTGTCTGCTGATCCTAAGACTTGAATTCAGGGTCTGAGTGCTGTGTTTTTTTAAAAGTTCAAAGCTAGTACTCTACCACTTGAGCCACAGCTCCACTTTAAGCTCTTAGGTGTTTAACTGGAAATAAGAGTCTCTTGGACTTTACTGCCAAAGTTAGCTTCAAAGTGTCATCCTCAGATCTTAGCCTCCTAAGTAGCTAGGATTACAGGCATGAGCCATCTGTACCTGGCTCAGTATAGTTCTTAATGACCTT